TATTGCACTTCTGAGGACTTTACAGACCCCACCTCCTTGCCCCTTGGAAAACCCCATTTCTGTACTGAAGCCCTCCCTCGAGCCACTCTCAGCTGGGCTTGCCGATAAGCACTCAGAGCTCTTTGCACCTGTTCCTACTGCCCAGGAAAGCCTAGCCAGGTCTGGCAGAAATGGAAAAGGCAGTCACATCTATAACTTGCAGGGCATGTGAGGTGTCTGAGGAGGAGCTGGCTGCCAGTGGCTGAGTGAATTTGCTTCTAAACTGAGACAGGGAACTGGGGAGCCAGCTGCCAAGTCAGTGTTAAGGGATGGGGAGTGTGGGCCTCCGAAGCCAGGCAGGGGACTTAAAACAGGAGGTTATCATCGTCATCACTCGTTATAATGCTAGTAGGAATAAGAGCAGGGCTTGGTTTGCCTTCTGGGTTCTGAGCCTCGGAGGTGCACTGGCTACCCAAGCCTTTCTCTGCCCTAGTGAGGGGTAGAGACTCACTGTTTTCAACAGACAGCTGAGAGGCTCATACAGTGCCCTCATTGCAGCTGCTGGGGTGTGTAGGGAAGCGCTAACATGCACAAAATTGGTGCTAAAGGCATGGGATGTGGGAGCACGGCAACCTCCCATGAATGCTGGGGTTTCCCCGGAGGGTTATGCTTCTGGGCTGAGCACTGGTGAAGCCCATTGCTAGTCGCACGCATTTGCCCATTTGCTGGCTGAATGAAGAGCATCGCAGAGGCTGGAAGAGTGAAGCCCTGTGGCTGATGAGTTTGCCCCAGGTATTTTAGATAGAAAAAATCCTCCCTGAGTCTCCTGAGGAGGAGCATAGTCTCGCCCCAGTCCCCACAGACACTCCCAGCTCTGGGTGGGATCACAGTGCTTTTGGCACTGCCCCGGGTCTGTATTTAGAGATTTCCTCTGCTGCCCCCCAGCCCCTTCTGCTAGCTTGTGGGATGCTCCAGAGATCAAAAGACACCTGCATCCTTTGAAACTAGGTCCCCCACTTTCCACAAGACAATGCAACTCTGCCGATCCCAGTCAGGGGCTTTGGACAACCCCAGTTAGAAGTGCACCAGTCTGTCCAAACCCAGCCAGCGATACAAAGCAGCCTGTCTCACTAGCTTGGTGAAGGCATGCTGGTTTCTGCAGCCAATGGCGCGCACAAGAGTGATGTGGTCAGCATCACGGCCTCTTGTCTTTGCCTCCCTGGCTTGATGAGCAGGTGACCTCTCCCAGCTTGGTCACAGCCTTTGGCAGGAGTCTGAAGTCAGGCTTGAACTCACAGCCCTGGAGGTGCAGCCAGGCATCCTCATGGTTGCATTCCAGCATCCTGCAGCAGCACTTCAAAGACAAAGCATAAGGTGCCAGAGAGGAAACATGAAGGAGTTGGAGGGAGATGAGATGGCCTGCTCCACACACACCCTGATGGGACTGTTGCCTTCTTCATTGACTTAATAGACTGGCACGCTCCTGGCCTGCTGATTGATGGCCCTGTCTAGGCTGGCGCTGAGCCTAATGAGCTAAGGGAGGGAGGCACAGGGCCTCCATGAGGAACACGGCGGCTTTGTACACACACGTGCACGTCGTGCTTGGCAGCAGAGTTCTCCCAATGCAGCCGTGAGCTTTGTCAGACATTACTCACAGCCGCTGCGAGAGCCCCAGAGAAACACCGTGAGCCATGCAGCAGATGGTCAGGGGCTCGGAGAGCCTGGGGAGGTGCACGGCAGAGCGCTGTGCACAGCTGGGCAGCACAGAGGGTGTTTTTCCTGCATTCGGGGTGATGCATGGTGGCGCAGCCACGAAGCAGGGCCCTGAGGACGTTCACTGCTTTGTAATCCCAGGGAAAGGCACGGACGTGCATCCTCTCTAAACCTCCAAGCTGCTCCCCCAGCTTCTCCAGCCCTCGCAGACATTTCTCCTGCTGGAGGGGGGCTTCCACTTGCTGCAGCTTTGGGTTCAGTTGCTGGGGTGCAGTGCTACCTGCCCCCTCTTCATCTTATGGTGGGCTCAGTCAGATGCCACTGAGCAATGCCTTTCAGGTTGGCCTCTCTCAGATGTGCCTTGGAGGCACAGAGCCATTGTGGTCCTCATGGCATCCTGCACTGCGTGAAGAGGATGCTTTAGGAAGGGGCTTTTCCACCTGCTCTGTGCAGAAGGAATCCCTCACCTCTTATGGCAGAAATCAGCTGCTTTCACCTTCTCTTCCACCATGGATTTATGCCTCTGGACTCCCTACTCCTCCTGTCCTGCCCAACCTTCATCATCATCACCATCATCATTATCAGTTATGCCACTATAGATGGCTCACTGGCTGTCTGATCTTGCTTTGCCCAATCTAGGGGGCATGGGGCTGGAGTTGTGGGCTAGACCCTTTCCATCTGAGCACGTCTGGAGTGAGATGGGGGCAGAAAGAGCTTTGTGGTCCCCCCATGTCCCTAAGCACACGGGGTTTCAGAGCTGCGCCAGGCTGCCATGGCCTCCAAGAGGCTGGGAATCACCGGCGAACAGTGATGCTTTGATCCTGTTTTCATCTTCCCAGCTTAGCCAATGCTAGGAGTTGGCTCTCTGAGGTCAGAGCCACCTGGGAATGAAGAAATTACCCCCAGCAACCTTCCTCTCACCTTTGCAACGTGCCCCCAAAGATTATTGCACTCTCTAAATATTCATGGCTACCCCCTCCCCTCCTGGTGACCAGCAGCAGAGGACTGGGGACGAGACCTGTTTGCTCAGAAATGCTGGCGGACGTGTCCTGAGCAGAAACAGTCCGCGCCTCTGCCATCTATTTCCAGCTCCTCCATCCTCCGAGCCAACCTCTCCAACTGTTTGGTAGAGGAGGTTGCCATAGAAATGCAAAACAAAGTCCCCGGTGTCTCCGGGCACAGCCCTTGCTCATCATTCACAGTCAAACCTCCTCTATTAAAAGTTCACGGTGGGAGCTGTTTGTGTTTTTGTTACCAGGCAACTCAACGCGCCCTGGGCTTTGCCAACATGTTGGGCAACTAGTTTGGCACCTGGGTCACATTCCCTGATGGTGTCACCTGCCGGTCAGATAAGCTTTGGTGCCTCTTCTTATGGCATCGTGGCAGGATGGGTAACATGCAGGGTTCAGGGGACTGGAGTGCCCATGGCATGGGCAATGCAGTGGTGGGGGCCTTTTGTGTCTGTTGTCAGTCACTGGGTTGCTAATGACTGAGATAATACGCTTAGGTATGAGGATAAGCTTATGCATCTTGGATTTAATTTGTCTATAAGGCACAAATCTACACTGCCTTCCAAAGGGTAAGGCTAAAAACAGATATCTGGGTTTCTATCTCATTGTCCCCCTTTGGGCCTGTGAAGCATCCAAGATGACATGTCTCTTTGGGATGATCTCGGCTAATTTGAGTTCAAGCTGTGTGTGTAAACCATTATCCCCTGCCTGTTCAGATGCAATTCAAAGCCTGGGACCATCAGACCCAGGATAAACCCCACCATCTGTTTCCACCCTGAGAGGTATTCCCGTGGGTCAGCTATGTGAAGCAAGATGAGGGTCTCAGTTCCACATCTGACCATCACTGTAAAGCCATTTTGTCAGCGGGGCACTGCTTGATGGGAGAAAGACTGAGCCCCTGGATTGCACCCTCTGCATGAAGGCTGAGGAACGCACTGTGCAATCAGCAATGCCTCCAGCCCAGTGCCCTTTGTCTGTGCGTTAGTGAATCCCCTGCATTTTTTCTGTGCTTTTGCTCCATATTCGACCCAGGGTGCTTGCAGCCAGAGGTCCTGATCCCACGAACGCTTACAGCGTGTACGTAGCTTTAAGCTTGTGAGTGGTCCCATAGGATGTGTGCAGGGGACTGATTGCACGTTACGTCATTCATGCATATGTTATGTCATAAGTGTTAAGTGCATCCTTTGGGAAATACCATCATCCTCCCAGTGGTTTCCCCAGGGGCAGGGGATGATCACCTTCTGGCATGGGGTAGTACCCACGGAGGTAATATATAGTGATGGACTCTCCTATGTTCATTGCCTGTGGGAAGATCTTGGCTTTACACCCACTTTATGGAAATGGGAGACTCCTTCCTAGCTTGCTCCTGCGGCCTTATGGCTGAGGGCAAGCAAAACTCGGGGGCATCCGAACCTCAAGCCTCTGGGCTTGGGCCTGCACGTAGGTTGCCTGCCAAAGGGTTTGGAAACATTTGAAGCCCCAGGTGGGGGTTTGCTGGTAGCAGGGCTACATATGGTTCTTGAATGACTCATGGATTTGGAATTGATTTGGATGATTTGGCTTGGAACATGAAAAATTTTACTTAAAAAAAAAAGTGTTAAGTGCATACTTTGGCCTGCAGAGCATGGCATAAGAGAACAGGCAGACTGAGCTGAGAAAGGAGAGGATGGAAGAAGAGGGGGTCATAGGAAACTCCGGCTGGAAGGGGCCTCATGAGTCCAGCCCCCTGCTCAAGGCAGAATCAGCTCTGGTTTTGCGCTCCTCCTCAGGCCCAGTGAGTCCCAGATCCACAGGGTCTGCTCCCTCGGTGGCTCCCTTACTTTTGGGACTAGCTAGCAGACCATTTAGTGTCAACCTTTGCTATTATGTGCAGGCTCAGTATCCCTTTATTACCTAGCTTTCCACTGAAAACATTATAAAAGGTGCACAGGGGGTGGTGCAAGCTGTGGGCAAAGTATTACAGCCTCTCCTACTCTGCTGCGGCCCCAGGTTCAGGGTAGAGAAACTTTTGTGTTGTACAGCCCCCAGCACACCCCTGGACTCCACGGTAATGGTAACAAGACTGTCATGCTTTGTATCACACATGTTCTTGCTGCATCACGGCCTGTCCTCAATGTAAGCAGAGCCGTCATCTGCTGCATCTGATGCCCTATCGTTGGCACCTGATACCCTCCGAGCAGGTCCCTGCAGCTCTTCCCATGGCCCCGGTTTGCTGCAGGGCTGCGGTTCTCCCTGCCCGAGCTGCAGAACTCCTTCTGGGGCGACAGCTTCTGAAGTGTCTCTTTCTTTGTTTCTCAGGTGGTTAAAGGTCTCTACCTTGGGAACATCCGGGGTAAGTGTCTTTTGCCAACTGCTTGCTGGTTCCCGGGCACATTCCTATCACCGGTGTTGTCCAGGATGTCAAGCGCAGCACAGTTCCTGCTGCCAGCAGTGGAGAGAGGGCAAAGACCTGATTCTGGCAGGTGCAAAGTACCTCCCAGAGGATGTGAACTTGCTCAAACAACCATTGACCTCACTGTGAGTTGAGGTCTCAGCACCTCCAGGCTAGGGACCCGGGTTCTTTCTCATCTGCGTTTGGCCCTGAAATCCCAGCCCAGGGGAGCCTGCTGTGATGTCATGCTTGGCCTCTGATCCTCAGCGGCGTGACGTTTGCTTCTGGGGTCGAGGGTTCTGACCTAAGCAAACCCTCCCTGCAGGCTCCCAGCTCCTTGCATGTGTGCTGCATATGCAGTCCGGCTTCTAGCAGCCAGGCGGGAGACTCGGTGCTTATATTTGCATGTCATTACCCCCATGCCCTTCTGCACCAGAGAGCTAAACTGGCGATATAAATGAGGGACATATTCCAGAGCAGGCTGGCTCAAGGGAAGCTTTCTTTGGTGTGTTTTTCCAAGGCTGCGCTATAACACCCTAAGGACTCATTTATAAGGTCAGTCGGTGCCTTTTGCTCCTCCATAGGCTTCCTTCAGACCCACCTTAGCTGCGAAGCCTCTGTGAAATCAGCCTGTTAAATTGCTTCGCAGGCAGGCTGGGATATAATTGCCAAGAGACGAGACCCCCGAGTCTCCCTCTAGAACAACTCCTGCATCTCTCTGATGATGCTCCTAACCCCTGGCCTCAGTTTCTTGTCTTAGACTGTGACTCTCCGGGTCAGGCTTCTTGCACGATATGATTCTGCCTCCGACCAGGGCGTCTGCATGCAGCTGCAGTATACCTACTCAATACTGCTCCTGGTCCCGTTGCCTGGAGCTGGGCTAGCTACCCTGCGGCACACGTGTCATAAGTGGCACAGGCAGCCTCCTGGAATGGCTTGCGGCAGACTGGGGAGGGAGCAGAAAGCAGAGCAGCAGATTGGCCAGGGCAAGGGGATCAGAGTGGCACCTGGGGAGGCTGTGGGGCTTAAATTGTGGCACACCTGCCCTCTCCTTCCCCACTGGCCTGGAGCAGCATAGTGAGTGCTGCAGATGCTGTGCAGGGCTAGGGCAGCAGAAAGGGGCCAGGAGCTTGAGCACCAGCTGGAGGCTTGGGGACCATGCAGCCGACCCGTTGTGTAACCTTGGGGAAATCAGGACCACAGCACCGCCCAGCCTAGCAGGGTTATGATAATGGTGAGGGGTGCCCCAGACACTATATTACCAGGGAGCACGGGAGATCCTGCAGGCAGAGAGGTTACAGGCTAACAGCTGTGTCTTTAGCTTGCTAGCACCAACGCCAGTGGGAAAAGTTGGCCTTGTTATTCAAAGGATCTGATTTCCACCTGGCCAGGAATCCTGGTGCAAAAAGAGACTCTCTTTAAAGGTCAGGGCAAGCCTATCCTTTCGGAGAGGGAAGAAGCTGCCTCCCGTGGTGCTGTGAGGTCCTGAACGAGCACCAAGGTGCAGCTGCTTGCAGGTCTTTTAATTCTCTATGCCCCTGGTGGACTTTAATGAGCTAATCCTCACATCCCTCCAGCGACAGGGCTTGGCTTCGAGACATCTCGTGCAATGGTTCAGTTTTGGACCCTTACTCTTTGCTTTCCAGCCCAGCTAAAAGCTTCACGGTGACGCAGCAGAGGCTCTGTCGCGAGTTACCACCGCCCCGAGGCAGATGGGCTGCTCATACGATTGACCCCCGTCTTCACAAGGGGGGAAACTGAGGCACAGAGCGTCTGAGCAGCTTGCTCAGGCTCACAGAGGGAGCTGGCATCAAGGCTGCTGGTACTGGATTGCTGGCTGTGGGGACCTTTCTGTGCAGAGCTGTACCCCACATGGAAATCCTCACGATCCACCCTGAGAGCAATCAGGGCCTGTCAGATTTCATTTTTGTCCAAATTATTCTTGAGGAAAACTCAAACATTTCTTCTCTAAATTCCAGGAACATGGCATTTTTAGGAGGAGGGAAAAAAACCCAACCCTTTCCATTTCCCAATGATTTCTTGTTCCTAGTAACATCAGAGCCATTAGCACCAGGAAAGACCTATTGGATTATTGATTTCATTATCGTGCTCCAGAGACCAGTCAGATAGTAAATGGGTGCTATGTCGGAAGGTAGCCAGAAGACTGCTGTGTATTTTCAATGCAGCAGAGAAAGTGCTACCCCTTAGAGCTGCGTGAGGCTGGTTTTAAAAGAGAGGACGGGCACTTATCAGAATTTTCTATCTGCAGATTCTGAGGACAAGGAAAATTTGGCCAGGAACGGGGTCACCCACATCCTGTCTGTGCATAACAACGCCAAGCCTGTGCTGGAGGTGAGTGTGTTAGGGGCACAGGGGTGAGCAGGGGAGGGGGCTTGTGCACCTCTGCTCACAAGTACTTTTGGGATCCCTGGCCCATGCACGGTCAGGGTCACTAGAGGGCACTGCAGCCCTGTGCAAAGTTACCAGGATTGTTGCAGGCAAGGAAAGGGGCACACGCATGGGCGCAGAAGCTGTACCCACGTGGAGGCGATTAGCGTGCACTTGCAGATAGTTTGCTGCGTGCATGTGCCCTCTTGCACCCGGGTCCTTTGTCAGCCTCAGGCTTCTGTTCCTGCCACATGCTCTGTTCAGGGTCGTTGGTCGGATCGGCTGGGGCTGCAACCCCTTGGTGTATTGGTGCCTCTCTGGGCATTGGAGTCAGATTCAAATTGGTGCCTCTCTCACTGGGACTCAGTGAGGTGGGAGTTGCCATGAGGATTCCCACAGGCACCTTTGGAGCTGCCTGGGTGAACCATTATGCACTGGCCAGATGACCAAAGCAAGGACCTCCGGCTAGGTCTGGATGGGGACTTCTCCCTAGGAAGAAATAGCTCCTGCCCCTGTCCTTTACTGAACCTAGTGCTCTATTTCCCAGGCAGGTATAATAACCTGTCCCCAACCCCATCTCCACAGCCCAGGGAACACCGTGCACCTGCTCCTCTGTAAACACATCCTCTCCCCAAACCCATGAGGTTTCCTGAAGAACGGGCCAAGGTGTCCTGCTTTGCACCTCAGCCTAGATTGTAGCCAGCCCTTGATCCCGTTAGCTCTGCTCTAAGCCTCTTCCTTGCAGCCATGCAGCAGCTGGATGCTGCCCCATTCAATGGGACTTTGGTGGGAACGAGTCAGCAGCAGGGATCCAAGGACCCCGTGTCTGGGGCCCTGTACTTTATTGAGAGACAAGGTACTTTTTAATGACTGATGGACCATGCTATAATGAAGCCCAGCCTGTGCCATTGCATGCTTTGCATTGCTTCCCACTGTCCTGGCATCTGCTGGAAGGATAAAAAACTTACTGCTGCTTCAATAAGAGGAGTTTCCCTTTGGGTCACAAGGAGGAGGCTTGTGGTTCTACAGGAACAAGGGGTTTGGTCCCCTGGGATATGAGGGTGCTGCCTTTGGCTGCTTGCAGCTCCTTGGTTTGGAGCAGCACCTCTACTGGGGGTTGTTCCTCCTCCAAGGAGCATAAGCAGCGCCATACTGGGTCAGATCCATGGTTCATCTAGTGCAGTAGGCAGTGCCTGACAGTGGCAGAAGGGGATGCTATAGAGGGAGAGCACTGAACTGGATATCTCTAGTGATCCATTTCCAATTCAGTATCCTCCCTGGCATCATAGTAATTGTAGGGGAGGGCTGGAAGAGACCTCTGCAAGTCATCTAGTCCAACCCCCATGTAGTCCATCCACTATTCTACATTTAGAAATGCCAGAGGAAACCTCACCTACCATCCTGTTCAATAGGCATTAATAGATCTATCACCCGTCCGTTTATCCAGTCCCTTGGTGAACCTGGCTCTGCTCTCTGCCTCCACCACGTCCTGTGGCCATGAGTACCACAACTTAAATACACATTGCATTAAAAACTCAGTGCCCAGGCTCATCTTTACACACTCAAAGGGTTGTCATGGGCCAGGAAAGCTGGAGGAACAGCTGGCTGCTGGAGAGGTTTTATTTTTACCTGGCTGCTCTGCAGATCGGCGGGGCCGGGGTCATGTTGTGATGGGTTGCAGTTCTCAGGGGAGTCGTACAAATGCTGTCTGTGCACAGAGGGACTGGGGAAGGGTCTGTTTCCTGCTCCAGTGTCTGTGGCAAGTTGTCTTGTTTTCTTTGAGAGAGGGGGAAACCATTTCTCAGAGGAGCCTGAGCTGCAAACCCCAACTTCAGCACTCCCTTTGGGCATGCAGGCAGCTCAGCGGTGGCACGAGCATTGCTGGCTGGGGCTGGAAAGGAGGTGCCGAGAGCTCCTGGGGTTCTCCAAAGACCTCTGAGAGCCACAGGTCTTACTTGTCTTTCTCTGGGTACATGCACATTTCTGAAGCTGTGTGTAGCATTTCCCTCTCCTCCTGGGATTTAATTCTGTGTCCCAGCACTGGCTTTTGGACTAAATCTCAGGGCACATACAGAGACCGGTCTCTCTGCCTCCTCCAGACCCAGGGCTCTGCGAGGAGGCTCCTGCCATGAGAAGGGCAGAACGGCATGGCAGAAAATAGTGGGTGAGAGAGGGGGAAAAATGACCAGAGAGAAACTGAGACCCAATATAAGGGGCTGGGCTTTCCCAGTTGTTCTTGTGAGCATGGTCCTTCCCCACTATGGTCAGGACAGCAAGCACATGTGTTTTAGGGCAGATAACCTGTCAGGTGTGTTGAGCCTGGCTAGAGAAATTCATGCCTCTCCTGTGCATCTCTGTGTCAGCAGCACCCAGGCCCCCTGCCCCTCCATCCTTATTCCTCTTGCCGATTATTATGAGCAGAGTCTCATCCTAAAGGCTACGGCCAAACCAGTCTCCCCATACACTAGGTATTGGGCTCAATAAGAGGCAAACCTTATCCTGAAGAATTTGTGGGCTAACCAGCTGGGGCAAATCCAGGCAAAGTGACTTGCCCAGGGACACCCAGCAGGTCAGTGGCAGAGTCAGGAAGAGGCCCTCCCCCGCCAACAAGGGCCAGGCTGTGTGTTACTCCCTGGGCCTATCTGCTGGGCCAGGAAGCAGCCTCAAACCCTATCCCTGTGTCAACACCCCTGCCTGGGAATACCAGGGCCTGTCCTCCCTCCTTCCCCCAAGAGAACTGCAAATAGAAATAACAGCAGGAGCATTTTCCTCGTTAAGGGCCATTGAGTAATTTGCAGGGGGAAAGGAATCAGAAATGGCTCCTGGTGCCAGGAGAGCAGCAGCTGCCAGCTGCAGGAGCAGGGCCATAGCAGACGATGGTGAACCACAGCCAGATCTTACAACACATGCGTGCTCGCGGCACTGCCGGCAAAGGGGGAACCGGAAAGGGAGCCGGGGAGGGGGTTCACAGAGCGGGGCCGGGAACCGCAAACCCAGCGCCGTTCCCATGCAGGGAGCAGCCGGGCCGATGCCTCCCTTCCTCCGCTCTGGGGGTCCCGGCTCCCGCAGGGAAGAGGGGGCTGTTTGCTGAGCAGTGGTTTGATTGTGCATGTGGGAGGCGTCACTGGCCTGGACCAGTGTCCAGTTGCAACATCCTCCCTGGCTGGGCTTCGTGCTTTGGTGGGAAGCAGGCGTCAGCTCTGCGCCTGCGTGTGCTCATCCCGCATTGCCTAATGCACCTCACTCCTGCCTGTCCTGCTTGCCTGACACTCCCCTCCTGCATGCAGGGGCACGGTCCTAGGTCCAGCTCCCGGCTCTGCTAATGCCCCTCATTCCCTGCTCCTCCAAGCTAAATCTCTGGTCTGCCACACTACCAGCACCCTCCCTCCTGGGTTGCACTGCACCACCCCTGGACTCCCTGCACTCAGCTGCGTCCATGCCTGCCGGTTCTCTCGAAGTCTGCAGAGGCTGGCAGTCGTGCCAGGGCGGGCAGTGGTTTGGTCCTGAGTAGGGAGGAGGAAACCACTAAACCCCTTGTCCCCGGGCTCCGTTGGAGCCTTTCTGCTGGCAGAGGTCAGTTCTCACGCTATGCCGAGGTTTTGGGGCAATGCCTGGCTGTGTACTATGCCC